TCCTTTTTTCAGCTAATGTGGTGAATTGATTCTTTTACTTTAAAGCAATCATATTTCTGGGATAAACCCCCTTTTTTTTGTTATTGCTCTGATGTCCTATTGTGTTCGGGGTTTCCAAGACCACCATCAGGTTGGATGATGGACTTAGAGGACTCAACATAGAGCTAAGATTTACTACACTGAAAGTATACAGTGCAAGATCAGCAAAGGGAAAAAGCACATGTAGCAAAGTCCAGAGGAAACCAGATGCAAGCTTCCAAGAGGCCTTTCCCAGTGGAATCACACAGGATGTGCTTAATTCCCCCAGCACTGCACTTGTGACAATACATGTGAAATGTTACCTACCAGGGAAACTCAGTAGAGACTCAGTGCCTGTGGGTTTTATTGAGGGCTGGTCATGATGGTACCCTCTGCCTAGCCTGAGCCAAAATTCTGGACTACCAGAAGGAAAGCAGGTGTTCAGCATAAACCACATTATTTGTACAAATAATTTGAGCACGGTGAGTCACTATTAACAGTTAGGGTGTTTAGGAATCCTCCCCGAATCAAAGTTCTCAGGCACCTCACAACTTTGTAGTAGGTCTTTTAAAGGATAGCAGTCAGGTGTGCTATGTTAACTCTTTTCTGCACAATTGTCCTAGATTTGGTTTGCTAATATGTTGTTTAGGTTTTTCACAACTATATTTGTGAGTGAGATTGTCCTATATTTTCCTTTCTCATAATATTCTTGTCAGATATCGTAACTAGTTATGTTGGCTTCATAATATAGTTTAGGTAGTGTATTAGTCCATCTCTGTTGCTTATAACAAAATACCTGAAACTGGTATTTTTTTTTTTTTTTAAAGCCTAAGCAGCACTACACCATCTGCGATGAACTTGATTTATTGTTAGAGTTGGAGGCAGCTTCATTACGGCAGCTGGGAACTATAGTATAGCAGGGAAGTGTGGGGAGGAGCAGAGCACAGCAGCATGGGGAGGGTGGGAGCTAGGAACACAAGGTGGCTCATTTTGGTTTCCCAGTTGTTTGGCAGAGAAGACAAGCCCAGATGATTATCAGCATCTGGGTTTCTCAGTCCAGATTGATTTACAAAGAAAAACGACATTTATTGCTTACAGTTTCTGAGGCTGGGAAGTCCAAAGTCCATCTGGTGGTGGTGACAGTGACCCAGTGGTCTCACATTGCAAGATGGTGGAAGCAGAGAGCAGAGAGAGAAAGACAGACTCTCCTCTTCTTTTAAAGCCCTCAGAACCATGCCCCGACCACCATTTTTAATCCATTCACAACTGCATGATCCTACAATCCAATCACCTCTTCAAGGCTCCATCTTTCAGTTACCATAATAGGATTTCCACCCTCTTAACAGTCACAGTGGGGGCTAAGTTTCTAATACATAAAATTCAGGGGACACAACTCAAGCTTCAGTGAGTTTTGGGGGGACATAATTCAATCCACTACAGGTTGTATTCTGTATTTTTTTATACTGGGAAGGGTGTGTGAACAGTTGGTTTTATTTCTTCTTTAAATGTTTGGTTGATTGACCTGGAAAGCATTTGGGACTGGAATTTTTCTTTGTAGAAATGTTTTGATTATGAATTCAATCATATTTTCTTTTTCCCCTAGTTTTGATAAGATTTATTTTTCTAGGAATTTGACCACTGTATCAAAATTTTCAAATTTATTGGTGTGTTTGTTTATGGTAATCTCCTATTTCTTTAATGTCTTTAAATATGTAGTCATAAATCCCTTTTTGTTCCTTGTTATTTTGTGCCTTATTTCACTTTTGTTTTCTGGATTTACCTTCACTAATAAAATTATCAATTTTGTTAGTCTTTTCAAAGAGACAATTTTTGACTTTGTTGATGTTCATTATTTCATTAATATGTGACCTTTATTATTTAATTTTTTCTACTTTTGGCGGGGGTTAATCTTCTGCTATCTTTGTGACTTCCTTAGACAGATGCTTAGTTCACTAATTTTTAGCTTCTCTCTCTTTTTTTTTTATCTTAGACACATTTAAAGTTACACATGTCCTCCTAATCTTATCTTTACCTGCATTTCACATTAAGCTCAAAATATTTTCTAATTTTTATTGTGACTTTTTTTCTTTGACCTATGGGTTATAGAATTATTTTATTTCCAATACATGGAGGATTTCTTTTTATTTTACTAATTTTTAACTTAATTGCATTGTGGTCAGATAATATACTGTGTATGATTTCATTCTGTTGAATGTACTGAAACTTGCTTTCTGGCTCAGGATAATGCTAGTTTTTCTAAATGTTACAAAAAGAATGAAAAGAATGAAAAAGTTGAAAAGAATGTGTATTCTACAATCATTGGGTACTATTAATCTTGTTATTCAAATTTATATTTTTACTTACTCTGTTTTGGTCTTTTTTTTTTTTTTTTTTTTTAAGATGACCGTTAAGGGGATCTTAACCCTTGACTTGGTTGTGTCAGCTCCACGCTCTCCCAAGTGAGCTAATAGCCCATCCTATGTAGGGATCCGAACCCATGGACTTGGTACTATCAGCACCACACTCTCCAAAGTGAGCCACAGTCTGGCCCTTTTTTGGTCTTTTTGATATCAATAATTTAGAGACTGATAAAATCTCCCACTATGATTGTGGATTTGTCTTCTCCATTTTAGTGCTGATAGTTTTTGTATTATGTATATATAGAGACAAACTGTGTTATTAAGTACATACAATGGAACATTCTTACATCATACTGGTAAATTGACCTTTTAATCATTTTTGACCTCTTTTTATTTCTTCTAATGGTTTTTGTCATAAAGTCTACTTTGATATTACAATAGCTACACCAGACTTCATCTGATAAATATTTACATGGTGTCCCGTTTACATCTTATTTTTTAATCTTTCTATATTTTAGTTGTGTTTCTGGTAAGCAGCATATGGTCAGATAATTTTATAATATTCTTTTATAATCTTTATCTTTTGATTGGTTGTTGTTCATTTATGATTTTTTTTTTT